TAAAGTTGTATCATGGTATAAGTACAAGTTTGGGTTGTACCCATTGAAGGATTTTGAGAATGTGTAGGTACAACTTCAGGTTGTACTATTTGTATAGGTACAAGTTAGGGTTGTACCATTGAAGGATTTTTAGAAAGTGTAGGTACAACATAAGGTTGTACCACAAGTATAGGTACAATTTTGAGTTGTACCACATAGGGATTTGTTAAAAAGTGTAGGTACAACTTAAAGTTGTACCACAGTATAGGTACAAGTTTGGGTTGTACCATAGAAGGATTTTTAGAAAGTGTAGGTACAACATAAGGTTGTACCACAAGTATAGGTACATTTACTAGTTGAACCATAGAGGGATTTGTTAAAAAGTGTAGGTACAACTGAAAGTTGTACCACAAGTATAGGTACAAGTTTGGGCTGTACCATAGAATGATTTTTAGAAAGTGTAGGTACAACATAAGGTAGTACCACAAGTATATGTACAATTTTGAGTTGTACCATAGAGGGATTTGTTAAAAAGTGTAGGTACGACTGAAAGTTGTACCACAACTATAGGTACAAGTTCGGGCTGTACCATAGAAGGATTTTTAGAAAATGTAGGTACAATATAAGGTTGTACCACAAGTATAGGTACATTTTGAGTTGTACCATAAAGGAATTTGTTAAAAAGTGTAGGTACAACTTAAAGTTGTACCACTAGTATAGGTACAAGTTTGGGTTGTACCATAGAAGGATATTTAGAAAGTGTAGGTACAACTTAAACTTGTACCATAAAGTATAGGTACAATTTTTAGTTGTACCATAGAGGGATTTGTTAGAAAGTGTAGGTACAACTTAAAGTTGTACCACATGTATAGGTACAATTTTAGGTTGTACCATAGAAGGATTTTTAGAAAGTGTAGGTACAACATATGGTTGTACCACAAGTATATGTACAATTTTGAGTTGTACCATAGAGGGATTTGTTAAAAAGTGTAGGTACAACATAAAGTTGTACCACAAGTATAGGTACAAATTTGGGTTGTACCATAGAAGGTTTTTTAGAAAGTATAGGTACAACATAAGGTTGTACCACAGGTATAGGTATAATTTTGAGTTGTACCATAGAGGGATTTGTTAAAAAGTGTAGGTAAAAGTTAAAATTGTATCACTAGTATAGGTACAAGTTTTGGTTGTACCATAGAAGGATTTTTAGAAAGTGTAGGTACAACTTAACGTTGTACCATAAGTATAGGTACAATTTTGAGTTGTACCATAGAGTGTTTTGTTAGAACCAAAGAGGGATTTTTGGGAAAGTGTAGGTACAACTTTCTTAAAGTACCATAACTTTAAGTTGTACCATAGTGTAAATGTATAACTCTAGAAAGTGTAGGTACATCTTAATTCCACAACCGTTATTTTGCCAGAATGAGCTGTGAGAACGTTTGAGTGGCAGCTGTGTGTTTCAATTTCACGTAAGATTTTGACGGGCGTGAGAATGTCAAGTAGAAGCCGTGAAATTTCCTGGGATAATGAGAACTGCTCTTTGCATCTCACGAGACATTTCACGACCGTGAGATTTGCCTGAGGAATGTCAAGTAGGAAAAGTCTAGTAACAGTACATCATATCATATGAGATACCCTGTTAACAAAAAGTAAAAAGCTGTCAAAACATTACATTTGTCTAATAAAACAAGCATCCATAACACGATTAAATATGTCTAATTAATGCTTTAGTTTAGCAGCATGTAGCCCACACCGGTGCATCATCATATTCTAATTGGAAAACATACAAGCACAAACGCAAACACACATAGCTAAGTACTAAGGACTTTGGTTGGCTCATCTTCACTGCCACTCTTCCTCGTCAGTGCTCTCGTCCTCGTCATTGTTTTCCTGTATTTGCTCATCTTTATTGACCTCGTTAGAGTCATTGCCCTCTTCCTCATTGGTCTCTTTGTCCTCTTGATTGCTTTCCTTGTTTTGGTCATCGTCATTGCCCTCGTTGTCCTCTTCACTGCCCTCTTCCTCATTGGTCCCTTTATCCTCTTGATTTCTTCCCTTGTTTTGGTCATCGTCATTTCCCTCGTCATCCTCTTCACTTCCCTCTTCCTCGTTGGTGCCATTGTCCTCTTCACTACTTTCCTTGTTTTGCTCATCGTCATTGCCCTCGTCATCCTCTTCACTGCCCTTTTTCTCATTGGTCCCTTTGTCCTCTTGATTTCTTTCCTTGTTATAGTCATCGTCATTTCCCTCGTCATCCTCTTCACTGCCCTCTTCCTCGTTGGTGTCATTGTCCTCTTCACTGCTTTCCTTGCTTTGCACATCGTCATTGCCCTCGTCATCCTCTTCACTTCCCTCTTTATTGCTTTCCTCGGTTGGCTTAGGAGATAGTTCCCAAGGTCTTGGGAATTTTTTGTAGTCAATCTCAAGGACCTCATGATGTGATGGTTGCATTTGATGATGTAGCGTGAGCTTCCTTCTCTCGGTCGAGGCGGGAGAGAATGAGTGCATTTTGTTCCAGAATTTGGGCAATCTGCCCACCCAATGCTCCAAATGGGATAAGTATGTGTCGGTGGATGGTCCGACTTGAGTCGTAGTTTGGTGAGGTTGTGCAGGATGTTCCGGAGTCTCCTCGACCATTTTCTTAACAACATGCTCCGATGCATTTGCCTCATCTGTTGCAAGAGGAGGAGCAGGATGAGGGAGGCCAACAATGCCTAGCACACCATTCTCCTTAACCACCAAACACAGACAGGATCAATATCAGAAGCATTAGTTACATTTGGTCAATGTTCAAAAGGAACTAGGCTAGTAGGCAATCCAAAACTTGCACAAAATCAATCCTAGTTTGTTAGAATCCCAACTAGTTCTGTTGTAGCATTCATTGTGAAAAGGAAAGTGTTGGTTGGAACATTTACCTTTGACACCAAATCTAGATCCGCAAGGTTTTTTAGGGAGATCGGTTGAGTGGACTGGGCAATGGTGCAATGAGCACCCACCGGATCGATGGCAAAATGGCGAGCTAGCCTTGTAATGTAGGCACCTCCATGGATGGTCTTGATTTGTTTGTTGGAGGTCATCTTCTGCATTATTTTCAGTATGACTAAACCAAGATGAATTGGTGGATCTTGAACCATAGAGAGGAAAAAGTTCAAATCCCGCTTGGTCACACTCCCTGGACTCCCCTCCCTAGCTGCCACAGAGTGAGCGATAATGTTGTGGATGATACGCCATGGGGGAAGAAGATCATTCCCTTTATAGTGGGTAGGGTTAAGACTTTTTCACATGGATGCGTTTCAGCGTACTCCACACATCATCGACCAATGGTGCTCTTGGTGGATATATTTTCTCTGAAATCAAACCATGTCCATCTGTGGTGAGAAATCCGGGTGGGCGTATCTGGAGTGCCTCTGTGAACTCAGTGATGCTCATCTGTCTCCCCTGTCCTCCAAGGCGAAAAGTTATGTTGTCTTTGGGCTTGTCGAGGGTAAAATCAGTTAGTAATGTGATAGAGAGAGTGCTGAGGAACTCAATGGTAAGCTCTCAGTAGATGACCTCATTGATGGAGAGAACGTCAAACCATGTTGAGAGACGGAGGCATGTGCGAATGGGCTCCGCTGCTCCGAGGCGCTCTAGGAGACCCCAATCAAAGCATCTTTGCTTCCAAAATGGGAGGGGAAGGAAGCATTCCAAAGACCTCATATGTTTGTCGGGTAGTTGGAGGAATTCGTGCAGTCCCCCTCCTCCAAGTTGAGTCTCCGGTTGTGGTGGTGGTGGAGATGGTTGACGTGCATGTTCTTGGTTGTTTTTGCGTTGTCGTTTGGGGGGGGGGGGAGTGTCTCGTTGTTGGGTTTGGCGGCAGTGACGATAAGGAACCTTCACTTTGGCAGGTGAGGCTGATGGTTGCGTGGTTTTTTGTTTAGCTCGAGCCATTCCTAAAAAAACCAACTCATCACATTTAGTCTTTAGTAAATGAGAGGGAAAAGAAATGTGCAAGCATAAACAATTCACAAATCAAGGAATCTAGTATGCATTCCAGTTTTCAACAAAGATACTAGAAGATATAGACTTACAGACCTTAGCTATTGAGTATATGTTACACTCCATAGTAAACTAGTTCAACTCCACTTCACATATATGCATTTCATATCATATATTGCATCTGGTATTCAAAGCCAGTATTCAAATTGTACTATAAGCATTTAAGTAAACTAATGCAAGACTATGAACAAAGAACACGTATACATGCCTGATTAGAATGGGATCACAAACCCCTCTCAGCTTGTTCAGCTTTTTCTCGTAAACATCACTGGTAGCGCCTTGGTTCTCATCCAACCAACCTAAAGTTGCTCTCACGGAACAGATAATCTCCACCTTTCCCCTCTTATCACACACCTGCTGCAGCCCATCACCACTGAGAAAGGAGTTCTTGGCATCATAGATGTAACTCTCTAGCTCGATCCTGGCATCCACACATGCTCTGGCTATCTTGTCTTGCTCTGCCATCTCCTTTGCTTCTTTGATCATCCTCTTAATCTAATTCTGTGTCAAATTTCCTTTGTAGCTGGTGATGGTTAGGGACGTAGATTTTGCTCATGGGATCTTCTCCCTTGACGTCACTTTGAGTATTCCATCCTCGTCGATCTCCAAGGTATCCTCTACTATTGTAACTCCCCTTGGAGCTGGGGTTATAACAGACATAACAAATTTTCCAAGCTCAATACAATCCTTGGTCAGGGGTCTTTCACCCATTGCATCCCTCCCACTCAAAACTTCTCTCTTTGTATTTCGATCTCTCTGCTTGTGATTTGAAGCTGATGTTCTTAGTTTGGTACTCGTTTATACATCTCTCCGAGTCTTCGCCGATCAATCGAGGGTGTATGAAGTCAAGTCTCCGACTGCCATCGTTCGCTACACCTCCATCTCTTTGCTTCCTTCCTTGTCCAAGGATTGTATCGAGCTCGGAAAATTTGTTCTCCTTGCATCCTTCCTTGGAGATCGACGAGGATGGAATACTCAATGTGATGTCAAGGAAGAAGATCCCAGGAGAAAAATCTAAGTCCCTAACCAACACCAGCTACAAAGGAAATTTGACGCAGAATCAGATTAAGAGGATGATCAAAGAAGCAAAGGAGATGGCAGAGCAAGACAAGATAGCCAGAGCATGTGTGGATGCCAGGATCGAGCTAGAGAGTTACATCTATGATGCCAAGAACTCCTTTCTCAGTGGTGATGGGCTGCAACAGGTGGGTGATAAGAGGGGAAATGTGGAGATTATCTGTTCCGTGAGAGCAGCCTCATGTTGGTTGGATGAGAAACAAGGCGCTACCAGAGAAGTTTACGAGAAGAAGCCGAACGAGCTGAGAGGGGTTTGGGATCCCATTCTAATCACGTATACACCATCATGATCAATCAGAACCATGTCAATGCTTACTGAGAAAGCCAAGAGCTTTGAAGTAGATTACATTGGGCAAGTAGTGAAACGGAAGAGAAGCATCAATTCAAAGGCACGACAATCGGAATGCACTAAGAAAATCGATGATAAAGAATTCAAAACCCTAATTCATACCAACCTTGGGCAACTAAACCGTAAAAAATGCAAGAAACCAAAAAAGAGTGGCGCTATGGTTAAGAAGAACTCACCAAAAGCGAAGTATAGAGTGCAGCGTATGTGTCGCTCCCAGAAAGAGTTCTAGATTGGTGGTTTAGCCTGTGGCTTTAGCTACGGCTTCAACTTTTCGGGGTTGGCTGATGTGGTTAACCATCAGAACATTCAGACTACCTTAGAACAAAAGAAGTAAAATGATTGGAACTTCCATACAAGAAAATGAAGTGATAAACCAAGCAATGAAGACCAGCATTGAAACCTTTTCATATGTCTGTAAGAACCATACAAGAAAATTATGGGAACTTCCATTTACCTGTGGGAGAATAGGTTGATAGAGGGCGAGGTAGGAGAAGAGGTTGGGAGAGGGATTGGGGATCGAAGGTTGAGAGAAGGTGAGCTCGGAGAACAGGTTGAGAGAGGGTTGGGGATCAAAGTGGAACAGAGGGCGGGGACTCATAGGGAAGTGTTCGCCGTCGCCACTGAAACTTGTGAGGCATTTGGGATCGAAGGGGAACAAAGGAGGCGCCAGGGAAGGGGGAAAGTTGATGATCGGCGGTGGAAGAATCTGGAGCAGTTACGAGGAGGAGGAGTTGAGGACGAGCGAGCGAGGGCGAGGTAGGAGAAGAGGGTTGGTGGCCGAGGTAGAACAGAGGGAAAAGAGGGTTCGAACAAAATAGGGAGGGGATTTTCAAATTTTAATCTACATAGGTTAGTTTTTAGGGTTCCCATCTCATGGCTTTTTATCCCGGGCGGGATATTACCAACTCCAACCCGTGAAACTCCCTGGGAATTTCATGGTTTTTTTATACATCTAACGGTACATCTCCCTGCCGTGCGATTTCGGTTATGGGGCGTGCGAAATTGGGAGTCGTTTCCATATCGCGGCTTAGTCTCCCGGGTGTGAGAATTTAATTACAAGCTGTGAGGCAACCTGGGTTTGAACGAGCAGTTGCGAACATCGCACAAGTGAATCTCATGCCCGTGAGAATTTACAGAATGGGTCTTGAGATTGTAGAATCCAAAAACACTACTGCTTTCACGGGCCTGTATTTTTTTTACATCTACGGGCGAACTCACGGCCGTGAGATTTCCAGAAGGAGTCTGCACAGACATTCACCTATAGAACTAACCCTTGTACTTATTATAATGGTGTAAGAAACATAATATACTGTTTTTGAAAACTACAAGCTTATGAAAAGATGAGTCATAATGTTCTTCGAAGCTAGACACGAGCATTACATAGATCCATTCAATGTCACTAGATACTAACTAGCACAAAACAAACATTACAAGATGAGACATAATGTTCTTTGAAGTCGAGCACCAGCATTACAGGTTGTGCTTGGATCGTTTGGGAAGTAGAACAGATTCTTGAGTCTCCACTTGAAAGTTGCTTTCACCTGCTCCTATGGACTCTAAGTTGTATTCTTGTTGCATGAAATGACTATCACCTGCACCTGCTTCAGCCATTCTTTTCAGCGGGCAATTTCTGATTGTATGTTTAGGATGCCTACAATACTTGCACAACCGTCTTTTCACTTGAGGTTGCTTCACATTCCCTTTACTTCGAACTGGATGGGGGTCCTTAATAAACTGAGAGGAGTTCACTCCAGCATCCGTAGTAGCATTATTTGTTTTGCTGGTTGTTTCTTCACTTATTGTCTGCACTCGCAAGGTCAAGACTTCAATCAACCCTTTGGCATTATGAAATGCTTCATCCGAACTCACAGCATAACGACACATTCTACTACATTGACCAACCAAGAATTCAAACCTGTCCAAATAATCAAGTACTTTTGTAGTTGGTTCCAAGCACAATAGAAGTAAACAAAGAACTAAATCAGCAGCTTGAATTTATAATACCTGCTAATATTTTGCTGGGTAGGACAGCTTCCCATACTCGAGGGATCGAACTCTTTTGCATTTTTAGTCCAACGCTTCAAAATGAGTGACTTGGGAATTTGTATTTGATTTTCTACTTTCAATATACAGAATATATGCCGACATGGAATTCCACATAACTCAAAAATGCCACAAGAACAATGCACATCATGTCCACTCGTGTAAAAGACCACGGTGCACTTTGAGTCAGGGTATTTGAATCGTGACAATGTGTAAATTGTTTTATTGGCCAACACACACTTGTCTGTAATATTGATAACGATGTAATTGCATGATTTTATACCCCTATTTCTTATCCATTTGCGGAGCATGGTTGTGTGTTTTGGCCTATTTTACGCCGGGTTGTGCTACTTTGTCCTATTTCAGGTCCCAGGCGTCAAAGGGAAGGCCAAGCGCGAGTTTCGGATCATTTGGAAGTCATTTCATCGAGCTGGAGCCAAAACACGGGCAGGAGGCCTTCAGAACACGACCGTGTTCTGTGGCCGTGCTTTTACTGCCGAGGCTCCCCATGTGTGGCTTGAACCAGCTAAAAAACACGGGCAAGACTGAGACAGAACACGGCCGTGTCCATCCAAAGCACGACCGTGTTCTCCCAAAAGCACGGTCGTGTTTCTCCCAACATGTGGTCGTGTAATTAACCCTAGCCAAAGCACCGGCGGGCTGAGGCAAAGCACGGCCGTGCCCTCGACCGTGTTCTGGCCAGTGATGCCCTTTTAGGCAGATTTCAGCCAAATTGAGGGGAGATTCGAGTTTTAGAGAGACAGAGCGATTCCTAGAGAGAGAAAGCGACGAACAAGAGCCTCCAAGTGCCCTAGCTTGATCTTCAACACCATTGGAGCTTGGCTTGAGCTTGGAGAAGTGCCGATTCAACGTCCAGGAGCAGAAATCCATCTTCACAGTATGATTTCCGCGTCTGATTCTGCTTTTGCTTCTTTCTCCATGGAGTAGTTCTCCAATTCATCTGGGTGTGGGAAACCCTAGTTCTGTATGTTAGGATTGATTCTATGAACCCAAGTACTGTTTCTATGATTTGATTATATTCGCTTGAGGTTTGAATGATTGAATGGCATGAATCCTGATCAAATTCCTGTTGTTTCTGCTTTAACCTAGAATGAGAATATCTGCCTAGGTTAATAGAGTATCCTTGATTGAAGGTAGTGAATTGGTGACTTTAGTCGAGGAGCCAATTCACTATTCTGTACCGAATTCCATTCGGTAGTGGAGGTTTGGTTCGTTAGGGCCTCAATCTGTTTACTCCGGTGGACATTAGTGGCCCGCTAGAGACTCAGATTGAGAGGGCCTGAAGACCTTTAGTCGAGATTTCAGACTGTTTGAGAATCTTCCGCAGTATAACTATCATAGAAATTGAACTTGGTAATTACAATCCGGCTTAACTGCAGACTAGGGGGAACCATATCCGGGTGACCTCTCTTAACCTGAAAACAACCGTTTAGTTGCTTTGCTTGCTTGTTAGTTTAGACCTTCACTAAAGTTTCATTGCTAGATAATACGAATTCACTGAGTAGTCATCACATCTAGGACCCGGGTTGACATTGAAACCTAAACCTGCTATACTACGCTTTAGGAAGTGGTTACACTTGGCCATTTTCTAGAGTGATAGTAGGAGTGAGTCAAGTTTTTGGCGCCGTTTCCGGGGATGGCTAGGTTGTTGAAGAAAATTGATTTTTGTTACTCTAGCGTTTTCATTTTCGCATTGAGTTTTTGTTCTTTCCCACTTGTGCCTTCACGGGTTTGCATTGCTTGATTGTGTGCAGATAGTGCATGACCCGTAGCCAGTCGGGAGGTTTACTGCCGTTGGATCCAGAGATTGAACGCACCTGCAACCAACTTCGGAGACAACAGCGAGCTAGACTGGCTACGGTGGAGTACAGAGATGGCCAATTGAGCAGCGAATCCGAGGACGAGCACGAGATGGAGGGCGAAGACATCCGACAACGGGGGAATGCTCGACTGGCTCCCCCGGTGAATCAGCATCCACCACCACCGCCGGGTCCCACCTTGGAGTACTACTACACTCCACGGATTGCTGACATCCGCCCCGTCATCCTCTATCCACCCATCCCAGCAAACAACCTCGAGATCAAGCCATTCTGGATTCAACTCATTACATCATCTATCCAGTTCCATGGTTTGAAGGATGAGGAAGCCCGGGCACACCTTTCCCGTTTTCTGCAGCTGACGAACGGGTTCAAGCTAAATGGTGTTCCGGATGACGCAATCCGCCTTCACCTCTTCCCCCATTCTCTGGCGGGGAATGCTAAGAGGTGGTTGGAGACCCAGCCCCCACTGTCCATCACTTCTTGGGACGATCTGGCAGACAAGTTCGTGCACAGGTACTATCCGGCATCGAAGACCACGGAGATTCAGCGGGAGATCACTCACTTCCGCCAAGAGCCAGATGAGTCCCTTCGTGATGCATGGGAGCGGTACATGGGATACTTCTGGCAGTGTCCCCATCATGGCTTCAGTGATGCTTTCACAGTGGGGAACTTCTATAGTGCCATCACCCCAGACAGCCAGAGGGTGATCGAGTCTCTATGCCCAGGAGGGGATATTCTCACTAAGACTCCACCCGAGCTGAACCAGATGATCAGTACCTTGGCTGCCCGCGATCATTCCTGGGGGCAGAGCAGCAGAGGCAGACATTCCCGGGACCGTGGTGTGCATGCTATGGATGCCAGATCCGGGTTAGAGCAGCAGGTGGCTGAGTTGGTGCAGACACTGAAGCAGCCTAACAGTCTCCTTCCGGGACGAGGTGTAGCTCCGCGTCCAGTAGCTCAGTGTCAGTGGTGTGAGAGCCCGAACCACCTGGTGGAAGATTGTCAATCTATGAGGGAGTCCTCTACTCCCCAAGAGTATGTGGACTTCATCGCCAAT